TTATTTGCAGTGATAGCACTCAGTATTTAGAAAATACATCGGAACACTTATAAACGGAACACTTTTTCTAAATAAATTTACAGAAACTATCGCTTTAAAACGATTTAGATCTTTTTACGTGACTTTTTATATATTTTGTTGTTCACTGCATTAGTCAAATCGTCGTACTCTATTAGATAAATTTCCTAACAAAATATATGTATGTACATATAATTATCTTATCATTTATACACAAGGTGTGGCATTACACTATATATATCTTTTAGATATAAAGCTATAACTGATTAAAAATTTTACCAAACTTTTGTTAATAATGTCAACACAAAATGCACATATGATAAAGGCTTTAGTCCCTTTGATGCTACAAATGCTTCCAAGTATTTTTTGATTGGTCAATTAATTGAGTTAGTGAAATACTTTCTTCCGAATAATATGTCAATCAAATATACTTCAAAATATTTCCGCAGCGCCAAGTTAACTGTCGATTATATGATCAACATTACAGGTAATTGCAGATCTTTTTTGAATAGCTTGAACTTTTTCTATAATTATTTTACGTTTTTCATCGCATCCTTTTCTATATTCTCGTGGGAATCCAGGTTTACCAATCTTTTCTAAGATACTTTCTCTGTTATTTTTAAAATCGTAATAATTTTTCTTTCCTAATATATATTTTTAGAAAAATGCACGATACGTGAAATATCTATAAAGAGTATGTATTTATAAAAAGGGTGAAGAGAAAAGAAAATTTAGAATTCTAAATTTACAAATAAAATGTTATTGTCAATAATCAAGAAATCGTATATTGATAACGCGATGCTGAAATAATCTTTCTTCAATATTAAAAAGTTGATGGGGAGAGAGAGAGAGAGATTTTAATAGTCTATTTCAATGATGAGATAGTGATTAAATAAAAGAATGTTGCAGTGCAGGATGTAAGCAAAAACTGGGACAAACTCGTTTACCTTCTTCTTGTAGTTGGTATCCGCAATGCGCATATATCGCGCACGTGTGCGAACGAACGTGTAACAGCGTTCATTTCCTCGGCAACAATTGTTTACTGCGGTAACCACTAGTGATTCTATAGAAAAAAGATTCAGATCTGAATCATCATGAGTTCTTGACGCGTATTGCGTGTAATTCGCCGCAACGATGTCGTAATTCGATATTAACTGTGTTATAATTCGTAATGCTGATATATCACATTATATCTTATTTGCTATTCTTTTTGCAGAGATGTCGCTCAGTTTTGCTGAGCGCATCTGTAAATATCTTTACGAGAGATGTTTATTGCCTATTTCCGTCTGATTCCTCATTGTGATTACAAAATGTATCAAACAACGCCGTCGCAGATATCTGCAATTAAACAATTCTACCACTCGTCAATTTATATTAAACTAATAAATTAATATTTGTTTTTTCTTAATTTTTAACGCTAACTATAACATTACTTAATTACGCCAGTTTATTATTTGTTGGTCTTTGCGTTGTATATATAGCTTGTATATTAAATAAATGTTTTTTTTATTTGCGGAATGACGGTATAATTTTTTATATCGAAAGAAATAACATTTTAGCCATAATAAATTACTCTAAAATTCAAAAACTATTGCTCAAACTAATTCTGGAACAAAGAAAAATATTAATTGTTCCTTCTGTCATACGTGAATTCTGGAACACTCTGTACAAGATGTAAAAAAATTAATGCGTCATTTTAGAAAATCATAAATACATTGAATAAAAAAACATCGATCATTAGATAAGATTAATCTTCGAAGTGTCATTAAGAGAGTAATACGTATTAATATACATATTTTACATTCAAATTAGGCACAATTAAACTCAAATAACATATATTACATAATATTCAGATATAACGAGAAATTATGTGGGCATTAATCTAAATTCTAAATCATAGCACAAAGTGCTTGGATAATAATATATGTCGCACTATACTTTTTGAACAATTTAGGACAATGTTATTGTAATTCCCGTTTATCGTTGTAAAATAGATGTAACATTTGTTAATAACAATTCTAATTGAAAGAAAACACTATATCATATTTATCACATTCGTATATGTTTCTGTACATGTTGTCTATAGATGTAAAATAATCTATTCCGAATTTTCTTTACTTTTGCTGAGCGAAATATACGAAGAGTTATTTGTTACTTTAAATTGTGTCTATAATTCTGTATGCTATTTTGCAATATTCTAGTTATCACTTATGATATTCGAGAGATACTTATTGTATCACTTGACATTAATTCTTGTAAATCACGCAAAAAATGGATCTGCAATTTTTATGTATCTACAAAGTTATATTTGCAATAAATAATTAAAAATAAAATAATACATTAAATTTATTCTTATAAATATAGGATTTTCTTAAATCCTATTTGGGTCTTTGGTAAAACTCTACTTAAAAATTTATGGAATCAATTTATCAGAATAACATATCTCCCGGATGAATAAATCTAAATAGCAGTAAGAACAGAGCGTACACATGATGAGCTTTTAGATGAATAAAAAAGAGTAATCTTGAAAAAAACGTTTTTTACTTGAGTAAAAATATGATGTCCATCTATATCTTAAGAATAAATAAGTTTTTATGTAGTTTCTTTGAGAAGCATTCCTAGTCATAAATTACCACATTTTATACACGTCGCTCGACATTTATGAGTACCGATAAAACGTCCTGCTTCCACTCCGTTCCGGGTCGATAACGTAATCGTTTAAAGTTGCGTTGTTTTTATGCATGGTCATCGATAACACATGCCAGTTCAATGACATATGCGTTTTTCTTTATGCAAATGCGGGATAAGAGTTTAACTAATTTTATACAATGGATTTATCTGCTGCTAAATACGCTATATGTTAATTTTCTGCATTACAACTGGCACTTCTGAATTATTGTTAATTACTAGTTTCGATTGCTAGGACAGTGTGTGTCTTTGGCGTGTCAATTTTAGAAAAATACTCAATTTTTGATTCTCTAAGGTCTAAAATGCAAGAATGATGACAATTGAGCCGCGAGCATCGGTTCACGGATGCCCTTTCTCTGTCAAAAATTGATTATTTTTGTATATATGTATATATGTACAATGTGTATATATATATATATATATACATATATACTATTTATTGTTGTCTATGTCTATAAGTGTCTGTATATATAATATATATCGGCAAGCGTCCAGAAAAAACGTAATCACAAAATACACGCTTGTATCTCTATGAGCTAATAATGTTGTATTAATATAATGTGATTACACGTGTGGTTTCCTTTTTTTGTCTCTGCAATACGTAATACAAGCTACTTATTGTTTGTGTACTGACTGCTGTATGTGTACTTATTTCTTTTTCAGGACTTGTAATGCTCTATATTTACGCCTTTTGCAGTATTTTAGCGCGTGTGCGAATGTATACGGAAGCACGGACTATTATCTACGTTACACGAATTATTTAACTAATCAACTAACTTAACTATGCTTTCCTAAAAACTACTCAGACTTCTGTTTAACATTTACCTCATATATCTCACTTATAAGAATAACGTCATGATCGTATTTGTAATATCGACTAGGGCGCCTATACGTCTTGCTTATTGATAATTAATACTGCTAGACGACTAGACTTGTTTTATGTAACATTCGGTTTTGTCCACCCTTAAAATTATTATCTAATTTGACACATAATTTTCGTATACAGTCTTAACATTTATGATGATGTTTGTATTGTGCTAAAAATATGTCACAGACTACAAAATTTTTTCCTCCTTACTGCAAATTTTTCTTTTTCGCTTTTTGGTCGATACGTATGTTGAATATAAAGTTTCTTGTGGATTATTCATCACTGAGTAAAATAATGTGTTTTTCTTTAGAATCTTCGTCACTGTTTGAATAATGCTATATAATCGTGTATAATCTATTTTCGTATAATAATATTTCTATTATATGGTAAGTTGTAAATTTCATAACCAGTATAAAACGACCAGTACCAATATATAATTATCACAGAGTTGTCAAGATAATGTACAGTATAGAACTAGTTTTACAATGTACCTTGCTAAGAGTTGGGAAAGTTACTTTACAAGTTACTGATAAGTTATTCTTTTATTATAGAAATTAAGTACAATTCAAATGTTTTATTTTTTATATTATTTTTTATCGTTTGCTTTAATTTCGTACTCAATTTCTATAACAAATGCATACAAAGTAAACTTAAAAAGTAATTGATAAGCAATTTTCCCACAACCCTGATCTTGCTATACTTAAATTTTTCATGAAAGTAGGTATATTATACAAATCATATGATTACTACTATCTGATCTAATACTGTTTTAATAGTCTCAAGAAAATATAAAAAAATGAGGAAATATGCACAAAAATGGCAGTGGATATTTTTATCACAAAAAAAAGATGTGATAATATATAACACAATCTATCTGATTTAAATGTGTTAACCAGTTTACATAATGTAATACATTTGTAATAATATATTACATATTATATTCCTAGAAACATTTAACAATAATTTCCTATCACTAAAATAATCTGTATAAATAGCATTAATATGCATAAAAAATAAGACTATAAGTATATTAATATTTAAATCTGGCTATGAAATTTCAAACTTACTTTATTTGCTATATGGTAGTAAAGCTTCAACGTTAAGCTCACAAACAATAATGGAAGTTCACTAATATTTCATATTAACAAACATCTCTATCAGACAGCAGAAAGACGTATGTATCCAATAATAAGTAACTAAAAAAATATACAATACCAACAACGTACTTAACGCTAAATGTATATATGATAAATAATTTAAGAACAATAAAACATACAAAATTTCCATTTTCGTACCTTAGCACCGTTAATTTCTGGAAATAAAGTTTACATTACGACAGATACTAATACGTGATTAGTATACGACCACCTCGGCAGAACATTTATTCGAAATTCTAAGACCAGTCCTCATATTGACTGCCCATGGTTCATCTCATTAAATCCGCCGCTCTCTGTCGATCCCGATGGACTTCCCGGGGATGCATTCTTTTACGATGTGAAAAACAATTGCCGGAGCTCGCAAAAGCTTTCGGACAGTAAGGACACTGATAAGGCCTCGCACCTGTGTGCTGATTTATGTGGAATTTTAAATCCTGATTTCGCTTAAATGTCTTATCACAAAGCGGACATGCGTGCGGTCTCAAGTCTGAATGCGTTATGCTGTGGGCACGTAACGTGGAATTCGTTGGATACACTCTCCCGCACACATTACATGGAAATTGTACGCCGCTGTGGTACTCCTTGTGTCTGAACAGATTCGATTGAGTTTTGAAACTGCAAGAAATTAAATTTTCTTTGGTAACAACTTGGTTGAAAATCCTTCAATAATAACAATATGATTAATACATTATTAGACAATTCATTATTAAAATCTTAATATTATTATATTTCAATATGAAAACAAAAACAAATTAAACAATTATTTTACAATAGTTTAACAATAATTCTTTAATCAAGTATTAATGAAAAATAAATATTAAATTATTATGAGAAAATTATTACAAGAATGTAAGCGTACATTCTTCCACATATGTCGCAGCCGTACTTTCCTTTAGGCCTGTGAGTTTCTAAATGCACTTTCAAATTTCCCTTGGTAGAAATCTTTTTACTGCAAATTGGACAGATGAAGTTGCTGGACGAATTGTTATCACTGTTCGTGTGAAGCACACCATTTATAGAATAAACGTGTTGAGATTGTAAAATAGGCTTTCCGTCGAATCTTCTCTCTTTGGGTAAATGCGACCATAAGTGATTTTGCAAGCCAATTTGCGATATAAAAGATCGGGTACATACTGTACATTCATACGGTTTCTCTGATACATTGGATATAATTTTTTCACTGTCTTCGTGCGATTTAGATTCACTTTCATCTTTCTTTTTTTCGTCTTCCACTTCAGTGTTTCTAAACAAGTAAGATATATAAGTAAGCATACTCAGCTACCAATAAGATCTTTATTATTATTATATAGAAAATAGTATAAAGATTCCTACTTGTTTGTTAAAGGTAATGGTTCTGGTGTATGTGTCCTTGTTATTTCTTCCTCGTTATCTGAGGAATCTGAAGCTTCGGATGTAGACTGTTCCATGCCACATTGTAAAAACAGCATCGGATCCACTTTTACCTCCATTTCTTCCATATTCGGAGTGCAACGTTTGACCTCTTGGAAATTTGATTCCTGTGGTTCGTCCTCGGTTAAAATTTCTATCGCACCCTACAGATATTATTGATAATACTGATTATATACTATAGATATGTGATAAATGCTAAAGGACAATTTTTAATACATATACCTTTGTCAATATCGAATGTAATAGCCCTCGATCTTCCGCCTTTTTTACAATATCTTGCATGTCTTTAATATTTTGTATCTCGTCTTCTTGTACAAGATTCGTATTGTCAATGTTACCATAAAGTTGTGATCTCAACTTCTCTTGGGTACGGTATGCCATCATTGCGAAACGATGAACACCCTCCAGTCTCTTGATACATGTAGAACAGACCATTTTTGAAAATTTGTCGTCCGACGACACCTGCAATTAAAAATAAGTATAAATTTATGAAAATATACATTATGTAATTGACATAAATTATATGACGCCAATATCTGGAAATAATAACAGTGTCATAAATTAAATTTGTCGAATAAATAAAAATTAACATGAATATAATATCCAGATATAAATATATAAAAAAAGGTAAAATATTCAAATTTTACTTCTTTTGGACTATAGTAAAAGATTATACATTTTTTCCTCAGAATATATATTTTTCAAAAAAAAAAAATAAATTACAAAATTATCGCATTATTAGAATTTACATCCGTGCATTATATTCTATATACAGGATGTTCCAAAATTTATGCATTTGGAGAGACAAAACATTACAGTAGTTCTTGCAGGTTTAAGTTGTACGAGTTACGGCAAAAATCATTTATCGCGAACGCAATTTTACTAAAGAAAAAGATTATTTTTAGCATAAAGTATAATTATATGTTGTGTACATACTCCAAATGCGCAAATTTTGGGACACCCTGTATATGTTTTTATACATATATGCACACACACACACACACACACACACATATCTATATGTGTATATATACGTAACTGTCATTTCCAGATACTAATGTCATATAAGTTATGTCAATTGCATAATTAAACATCATTTTATTATCATCGTTACGTCGTTTCTCATTTCTCGCATTATTGTCATCTCCCATTTGCACAGCAGCGCGTCGCGAATTCTCTCTTCATTTTCATCCTCGATCGACAATTAACCTAGCATTCGCGAGCGCAGTTAACGGCGTCGAGATGGAAAGGAATAAGGACGTTTCATTTATTTAAAAAAAAAAAGTCGTCCGATTTTTCCTCTTTTCTTTCGCGTACACGGTCGCATCGCCAATCTATTCCGCATCGTATCATTTATTTCCCCGTCGCTCCACCGCGGACGCGGCCCTCATTTCCAATTGTATATTTATAGATGTGGCCGCTTATATATAGCGTATACACATACACACGGGGCACGGGTATACTTATTGCAATCAATAAAATGCTAATTTTTAACACTTTTGTAGCTCCGCACACAAAATGGTCGCGCTCATGACCGATGTATTCTGCAAAATACGTAAATACGATCAGCACTGTGAATCGTAAACGCGACGGTTGATCCTCTGATATGAGACCGCTGACATTTCGCGATTCGTTATAGGAACCGATGCAATTAATTTTTTCAGCCGGAGACTTTTGGTGAGGCGTAACCCAATAAATATGTGCTTCAGTATCGCGAAAATGTAATTATATTTAGATGATCAGTCAATTCATTCGTGTCGAGGCTGCGATCATTATATGATGAAAAAAAGATCCAGGCGAGATCGGGGAGACGATCGGTGACTTCAAATCGCTGTGATATATTTTTCATCGCCGATTTTTCGCGAATGCCAACACGGAAAACTGTCGCGATCGCAATACGAATCTTCGCGAAAAAGATCGGCGTGCGATTTCGACCGATTTCGAAAAATCGGCTGAGATCGGCCAAACGAAGTCGACGTGAATCTCGAAATTCGGCCGCAACCGGCACGTGATATCACGACACCTGGCCGCGTAGAGGAGGGGAGACGAATTTTGAAAGAAAGAAAAAAATGAGGGAGCGAGATGAGAGGGGAAAAAAGAGGGAGAGGGGAAAAAAAAGGATGTGCGAAGATACGCGCGAAAGCGCGCTCGCGTTTCACTCACCAAGATATGCAGGTATTTCCGTATTTTGGTCTGCAGATAATGACGCCGGCCGTCCTCGGCGAAAATGTGCATCCTGCCGTCGTCGGTGGCAATGTCGGTCGCACAGATCCGGCACTGCGCCGCGGCGCGATCCGCTTGCCGATCGCGCTGTTGCTCGAAATCGCGTGCCGCCGTGCCCATTTTTCAAAAAGGAAGAGCGCGAAAAACGGGGAGAAAAAAGGGAAAAACGGAGAGATCGGCGAAGAAGAGAAAGAGAGATAAAGGGGGAAAAGAAGGAAAAAAAAAGGGAGAACGGCGTGCCGGGGAAGGAAGGGGCAGGAGACGATTTTTCCTCTCGTTCCACCGCTGGAAGACTTTTTCGTTTCAGCCGATCCTCTCTCGGTGGATGGTACTATATAATCTCGGCGGCACGATCTTTTTCTTTTTCTTTTCTCCTCCCAAGGCTAGGACGAAATGCCGAACCGCCAAGTCGGTCCGCGACGCGACGTCTTCATGTACCCGGACAACGACGGGGCATCCTCGGTCGCGAGGAGCGGCGGCGGCGGCGGCGGCGACGGCGGCGGCGGCTACGACGACGACGGCGGCTGATGCGCGACCGAGAAGAAGCCGCGTGTGTCTCCCGACGGCACGGCAGCAGCCGAAAGCGGGCGAACGTGCGACGGCTTGATTATTCTATAACGATTTTCCCTCTTTCTTTTTTTTGTTCCGCCGTATACTTTATGAGTGGAGCCGCGGATTGGGCGAGATTATAAGCCGCGCGGCACGGCGCGACGCGACGCGAGTCGTCGTGCTCTTTATAAAAACAGACGCGCGCTCGCCCGCGCTCGTCGCGGGGTAGTCGTCGGGCGTCGGCGTGCGTCCGTCTCCCCCGTACGTCTCTCAACCCCCCGGAGTGTGCCGCGAGTGCTCAATACAAAATATATAATAGCATTCGTCGATTTGAAAAACATATGTATATAACCAATTGTTTTATTTATGGATTCCGCCGGCGCCTCGCCGCGCGGCGCTCCCCGCCGGTGCGCGGCGCGCGCGCGCGTATATCTGATGTTGGCGTCTCCGCCTCCGCGCGCGTTCGCGAAAATCCTACGTATATTACATCGCGGCCATGCGACGCGCGAAAGAATAAAACGCCGCGGCGCGCGGCACTCTTAATTGCTCCGCCATCTTGGTCGCCCGTGCCGGCTCCTGCAGTACTTGGCCCGCCAATTTCTTTTCTGGTCTCGCGCCGCCGACAATACCACGTGTCCGTGGCGCGTCGCGCCGGACCGTGTCGCTGGTGCCGCTGACGTCACTCACGCTCGCTCGCTCGCACGCGGCCACGAGATACGTCGCGCTGTCGCCGCGGGGTTCCGCGCTTTCCCGCCATTTCTCGCCGTCCCTCTTTCCCCGTCGCCTCGTGCCACGCGCGCGTGCGCGCGCCGCGTTTTTGCAC